ATCCCTCAGACCTCCAGTCCCTGCCTCCCAGCTCCATGGCCTCCCAGAGGTCCCCAGCCAGGACACAGGCCTTTCCAGAGCTGCCTGGGGAGATCAGGGTCAGGGTGCCCCTCCCTGGCGGATCCTGTCACACATGGAGAGTGTGGTCTGCCCGAGTGGCACTGGCACCTGGTGCAGTGTGAGATCCCAGGCGCAGCATGGGCGTCTAGGCACAGTGCCGGCTCCCAGGTGCAGCGTGGGCGACAAAGCGCAGTGTAAGCTGCTGGGTACAGCATGGGCACCTAGTGCCTGGGGGAGCTGCATGCTGGGTGGCAGCTGTGTCCTTCTGTGTGGGGCCAGCAGAGGGTGTCACGCCCCTCCAGGGCAGCACCGATCACCCAGAGACTGCAGGGTTGGGTCCCTGGGCAGCAGAGGGCTCTAGGGCTAGGCAGGCCCATGCTGGGTGCCTCTGGTGCTGGAGCCCTGTGGCACCTTTGGCTGGACCCTGACATGGGCTCCCCACCCCACCCCCAGGCCCAGGTGGCTCCAGTGGCCACTCAAGGGCCATGCCCCAGGTACAGTGCATGGCTTTACGTGGAGGGTATATGGGGCCACCCCCACACACGTACTGCTGTCTCCTTTCCCCGACACACTTACTGCTGTCCCCTTTCTCCAACACACGCACCGCTGTCCCCTTGTGCTCAGCTCCTGCAGGCGGCTGCAGCGTGCTCCCTGCTGGACTGTGGCAGCCAGCACGGGGGGGTCCCGGCACCCCAGCATGCCCTGCCCAGCACCCTACCCTTCCACAGGGAGATGCTCCCCTCTTGCCTTCCCTGCCACCTTCCCCTCTGGCCCTGAACATCCTGATTTCTTCCTCCACAGTCAAAGTGTCAGCCAGGGGCCACCTGCAGGTCCTCACCCACTAACTCACTCATTCAGCAACCGCAGGTGAGGCAAGTCAGCGTGCTGACCCGCCAGGCGCCGTCCCTCTGTTGCGCGTGGTCTCCGGGGAGAAGGTTCCTAGAGGCAAGAGCTGCTCCCCTGCCTAGGATGGGGCCAGCAGGGGGCAAGGGGCGGTCACGAGGTGGTCACCCATTCCCCCGAAATGCTGTGTTTTGGGGGACCCTTGTCTAGTGAAGGGAGTGGCTCAGCTGTTTTGGCACAAGCCCATCTGAGCCTGGAGCATGGTTTGGAATAGCCAGAGCCTGGGAGGTGCTGGGGGAAGCCGCCTTTGCAGCTGAGCCCTGTCCAGGTCCCAGCCAGCCCCCAGCCCTGCCTGCTCCAGGCCAGGTGGGCTGAAAATGCACCCTGAGCTCTGAGAGGGGAAGGGAGGGGCCGACATAGGCCTGGCATAGAGTAGGCCGCAGTGCCTGGCGGGCCCTCCCCTCGCCCTGCCTGTTTCCAGGACTCAATTCCCCTATCTGCAAACTGTAGGACTGAACCGCACATCCCCAAGAATTCTAAGATGCTCAGACTCCAAGGACCATCCCCCATTCAGCCAGGGGCCGCCCCTTCATTTCCTCCGGCCAGGCCTTGTAAAGGGTGGGCCCAGCTGAGGACCTCCAGGAAGCTGATCCACCTGACTTGGGAGCCGTGCCCTGGGCTTTGGAACATGCGGGGGGCCCCAGAGGTCAGCCCTGCCTCAGCTGGCCCAGGTCCATGTCCAGTGATCTATGGGACCCTCTGAGTCTGTGCTGGCTGGACCCTGCCACTCCACCCTGAGCTGCAGGGTCCTGAGACCAAGCCTCCTTGACAATGAGCAAGACCTTTAGGTGGTTTCTGCGCCTTCAAGGAGCAGGGTGTGCAGGGAAAGGCAAGGAGGAGTAGGGGACGGGGGCACAAGCCTGGACTCCAAGTCCAGGGCAGCTGATGTGAGGGCAGGGGGCCTCTCAGGGGACATCCAGGGCGACCACCCTGGCCCCCACTCTCCCTTCACAAAGGCCACACCTCAAAATCCACAGGGAGGACAAAGGCCTCCCTTTGGGGCCAAGGCTGCCCCTTCCCACCAGCAGAGGCCTGGAGAGTCCCTCCCCACACACAGACCCCCCAACACTCAGAGCCTGCCCTCTGTCTCCTTCCTTCTGTCACCTTCTCCAGGGTCCACAGTGGAGGCTGGGATATCCGGCAGGGCCCTGGGCGGGGAAGAGTGGGGGTGGGGGTGCCTCTGGGCCTTTTCAGGGCAACAGCCATGACCCAGCAGCCTCCTCAGTCAGGTTGAGGTGGGGGCTGGAGTGGGGGTGGGGGTTGGGGGCGCCAGCCACCAACCACCAACCTCAAACAGCTCCACCACACCCCCAACACCACAGCTCCACCACAGCCCACCACAACCCCCACTGCTCAGCACCCAACACACTCACCTCACACGCCCTTCACTCATTGGCCACCACCAGCCACCACCAACATCTACCCCAGCCACACACCAGCAATCAACCAACCTCCACCAGCTCCACACAGCCACCACCGCCAACTCATCAACCTCACCACAGCCACCCCAACCACCACCAGCCACCAACCACCACAGCCACCAAACCACCACAGCTCCACCCAACCAACACTACACCAAC